CCAACACTACCCTGCACCTACTCACAGAGGTAAGCAACACGTTCCAGCTGGTAAGAGGTGCGTACGTATTGTTCACTAGTAGAAATAAATCAGTACTATAGAGTAAAATTATTGGTCTAGACTAATTACAAAAATATTAGCCTAGGCTAATTTTTTAAAATACCAATAGATGTCTAAAATCTATTTACACTTTAAACCCAAAAAGAATAAAAGCTACACTGAAAAAAGTTCTAGATAAAGGAAGTTCTCTGTGTACTTCAAAATCACACTATGTGATACTGGGTTCAAATAAGAATGCTTCTATTTATGGTTTCTGAGATCTTGGTCATATTATTTAATTTGTCAACTAAATCCCACTTTCTTCATTTATAATATGAAGATAATGACATTCTTACTTCACAGGGTAACTGTGAAAATTAATGAATATAATTAAAACTGCTTGGCATAGTACTTAGGACCTGAAAAACAATGCAAACATTAGTTCTGTGATTACTATGATTATGATACTGAGCATCTTACATTCCTTTCTTATCTGATGTTTACCAACACTTATAGGGGATATATAACTCTCTACACATTGCTTGCAGATAGGTGAATGGTTAAATAATTTGCTCTAAGACCTTAAGTCTAAAATATTCTAGGTAAGATTTGTCCAGATCTGTGCTACTCCACAACGGAACACTAAAGAGGCATCAGGATCCACACCTGCCCCAACAGTCAATTATGGGTGCTTACAGGACCCCTGGTGGTACTGTTGGGTAAGCACTGGGCTGCTAACCACAAGATTAGCAATTCAAAACCACCAGTAGCTCTTCGGGAGAAAAATAAGGCTGCCTGCTCCCTAAAGATTTACAAAGCCTCAGAAACCCTCTACAGCAGTGGTTCTCAACCTTCCTGATGCCTAGACCCTTTCATACAGTTCCTCGTGTTGTAGTGACCCCCTAACCATAAATTTATTTTCGTTGCTACTTCGTAACTGTCATTTTGCTACTGTTATGAATCGGACAACCCCTGTGAAAGGGTCGTTCAACCCCCAAGAGGTAGCGACCCACAGATTAAGAACCACTGCTCTATAGGGTCAATGCCAATTCACAGCAACCCTAGAGGACAGAGAGAACTGCCCCTGTGGGTTTCTGAGGCTGTAAATCCTTATGAGAGTAGAAAGACTCATCTTTCTCCCACACAGCAGCTGGTTCTTCCTGCCATTAGCAACACAACACATAACCCATTACTCCACCAAGCTCCACAGCAGTGGGTGGCTATAGAAAGAAAAAGCTCAGTAGTTTGAACCCACAAGCCCAGCCCCTCTGCTTCCCTATAGCGCAGTTCGACTCTGTCTTACAGGGCTGCTAAGAGTTGGAACTGGCTCGATGGCTATGGGGTTTTATGGGAATCAGGACAAATGAAGGAGCCTGGTGGCTCCATGGTCACAAGCTCAGCAGCAATGGTCCTCTTAGAACTCATCCGCTGCTCCATAGGAGAAAGGTGTGGCCATCTGCTTCTGTGAAGATCTACAGCTTTGGAAACCCAAAAGGGCAGTTTGACTCTATCATACAGTCAGTCAGAACTGACTTGACGGCAACAGGTATGGCTAGGTACACAAGGAGCTCAGCTGCTAACTGAAAGGTCAGCAGTTCAAACCCACCAGCAACCTGGCAACCTGCTTCCAAAAAGATCACAACCTTGAAAACCCTATTGGCCAGTTCCATGTAGGGTTGCCCTATAGCAGTGGTTCTCAACCTTCTTAATGCCGTGAACCTTTAGTTCTAAGTTCTTCAGGTGTGGTGACCCTCAAACCCTAAAATTATTTTCATTGCTATTTCGTAACTGTAATTTTGCTACTGTTATGAATCGGGCAGCCCGTGTGAAAGGGTCGTTCAACACACACACCCCAAGAGGCCACGACCCACAGGTTGAGAACCGCTATCCTATGGGGTTATGAGTTGATGGCAACAGATTTGGGATGGGTTGGGACAGTGCCTGGCTCACTGAGCACTGCATCTTGTGCTCAGCACAGTGGAGGGCACACTGACACTCCAGCACAAGTTGGGTGGGTGGGTGAGTACCCCTGAAGGGTGCACAGGTTGAATATACTAGATCCACAACATAGCTACCATAGGCCCTCCTGCATAGTACTTAAAAAATTCGAGATTTACATAAAAGAAATCAAATCAAGCACTTACTTGGAAAGAGTAGCTGATTTCAAAACTGAAGTCCTACTCACAAATTAACTTAATTAAAAGGCAAAATTCTTCATTCAACAAGTATTTATTGAGCACTTACTAAGGCAAGCTCTGTACAAAGTGCTGAGATACAACAGTGCATAGAGAGAAATCCCAGCTCTGTCTACCTTGACCATCAAGAGGTTTCCAACAAACCAGTCTTGTCAGACAGACACTATGTGGTTAATGAAGGAGAGGTGTAAGATGCTATAAAAATCAAAGACTCTGGAAGAGGGTCAAGGAAATAGTCCCCTAGAAAATAACGAAGAGGTGACAGAAATAAGATTCTATTGGCCTTGCAGGCCTTGTTAAGAATATATAATGGCATGTAAGAACAATGGGAAGCCCTAAAAAGATCTGAGAATTGGGTTCCATAAACCAACTGACATTTTAAAAATTACAACTCTGGCTGAAAAATTAGGAAATAGGCTGGAAGGGAGCAATCGGCTAAGTCAGAAGGTTATGAAGCAGCCTAGCACGGGTGGTGGTAGTGCTGGAACTAGAGTTGTGACTGCATATGGTTAGAAGGGTTATTACCTGCTAGTAGAACTGCTAGGAATGGGTTTGGATTCCATCCAGAGTAAGAAGGGGGAGGATCCCCAGGGAGAAAACTAATGCAACTTTACGGTAGCCATCTAATGTGCAACTACCTCTGCCAGATGACCAGTAATAATGCATGTTGATAGATAGCACTTCTCCTTCATATATGATGAGAACAGCACTTCATCCCTGTGGTCTTCTCACTAAAACCCCTCACCCTGTCTAATCATGAGAAAAACACCAGACAAACCCAAATGGAAGGACATTTACAAAAATACCTGGCCATTTCTCATCAAAATCATCAAAAACAAGAAAAGTCTGAGAAACCGTCACAGCCAAGAGGAGCCCAAGGAGATAGGATGACTAGATGGGATACAGAAAAAGGATAAGGACAAAAAAAAAAAATCAAACTCGCTACCAGAGTTCATTCCGCCTCACAGCAACCATACAGGACAGAATAGAACTTCCTATGGGTTCCCCAGTCTGTAACTCTTTATGAGTAGAAAGCCCCATCTTTCTCCCATAGATCTGCACCTGGTGGTTTCGAATAGCAGTTAGCAGATTAATGCATAACCACTACGCCACCAAGGCTCCTTCCTAGGAAAAGAACACTAGATTCAAGGTAAGGGAATCTGAGAATATTGAGTACCATGGACTGCTAAAAGGACAAACCGATCTGTCTCAAAAGAAGTTCAGCTACAGTGTTCCTTGTAGGCAAGGATGGAAAGACTTCACCTTACATATTTGGACACATTATGAGAGACAAGTCCCTGAAAAAGAACGTCATGTTTAGTAGAGGGCCAGGGAAGAGGAGGAGACTCTCAAGGAGATGGATGTACACAGTGGCTACAACAATGGGCTCAGCACAGGAACACTTGTGAGGACAGCGCAGGACTGAGCAGTGTTTCATTCTGTTGTGTGTAAGGTTGCTCTAGGTCGAAATGGACTGGATGGCACCTACCGTTTCCCCGAAAGTAAGACATCCCCCTAAAATAAGACCTACTTACAGTTTTGCCTCTTGCTGAAATATAAGGCACCCCCCCGAAAATAAAGCCCCCCCCCAAAGCTACCGT